CGTTCCAGAGCAGCGACGCTCGGGATGTATTTGTTTTGCATGAGCATGAAATTCGATATAGTAGTTTGAGGAGAAGAACGTAAATTACAAGTACATGGACCTAAGAAGGATCAGTTTGTGAACAGTTTTGGAGAATGCAAACCGAGGAACATCGTGTTTTAGGAAAGTGGGTTGTAGAAGGTTGCGATGGGCTGTGAATGTAACCGGAATGGTAGAAACAAGGTATGCTTACATACATTTTAAAAGAGTCCTCTAGAAGATCGAGAGGTTGGTGTGAGGGCAGTGGTAGGATACATCTTAGGTGGCTGAACTGGCTCTGGGTCATGGCCAATGATTGAGTTGGCTCTGCGACCGCAGTGTTGGTTATGTTATTAGATAAACATGCATGGGATACTTTGGGATGGTATTACAAGAACAACATTTATAAACGTCCGTGACCTCAACGGAATTTGGCCCTGCGACCTTGTAAACGATACCAGCCAATCTGAACGATTAAAGTGACACATAATTGTTATTTAGTGTATCTCACCTTCATGTTTCTTGTGATTTATTTTCGAGTCCATGGTAGTAATGTTTGGGGGGAAAAAACAGAGCTATGTCGTACTGTGTTCAGGGTCTGGTATGCCACAAAAACATTGCGTGTTTCACTTTCCGGGTTGGCTTTTCGCCGTCACCGTTGTCATCAGTATTACGAACTATGCCCGTGAGCTGTTACGGTTATAAGGATTAAAACTCCTCTTTTTGTAGAACGCTTCTGGCATCTTCTGCACTGTGGTTAATATTCATAAAGCAGCTCCATGTTTCGGTGTTCAGGGGTTCGTTACAAAAAGAAGAAAACTATTGTTTTTGTTCAACGTTTCTGGCACATACTGCACAGTATTAAATGATGATAAAGCAGCTTCATGATTCGATTTTTGTGAAATTCTTTCGGATATTCTGGCCATTTCTCCGATACTCTTTTAGGCGCGTTCACAACTACAATTTGCAAAAATGCGCCTATTACCTTCGTCTGTCGAAATATAGCAGTTCTAGAAGAGCGGAACGGATTTTCATGAAATTTGATATTGGGTAGTCGAGCTAAAATCTAACGATGGGTTCCGACGTGCAACAATAACGTACTTAAAAGTTTTTTGTATGACTTCTCTTTAAATGTAATCCTGGATAGAACAAACTGGTTCTTGAACCAAGAATACAACCGCATATTCTTCATGGCAATGGATCTAACTTCATGGCTTAGAGTCTTCTTCAGAAACTAGTAAAGCAATTCTCCACCTTTTTTGGGACACGAAGGTACACTACGGTGTTCATAAGATTCGAGCACTGGTCTAACCAGATTAATCCAGTCCACATCCCATTTCTTTCAGATTTGTTTTAATATCCTCCCATCAGCCCCTAAGGTTTACGAGTTGTCTCTTCCCGTCATATTTCCCGACCAAAACTTAACGTGCATTTCTTATCTCTCCCGCGTATGCTACTTACCCTGCTCGTCTCATTTTTCTTGATTTGATCACTGCAATAATATTTGATGTAAATCCGACTTAATACAATTTCTGAGTTAATTAGACATACAGAAGTGGTATCTCCGTTACTCCATCTGTTTAGTTCAGACGTATGTATTGTAAAATTATGCAGAAGAGAAGGCCTTTAAACCACGGGACAAGTAATTATCAGTTTTAGGAAGACACAGAATTATAAGAATGTACTCCCTTCCATGAGTTTTTGAAAAGTCATTCATCCTCTTGAACTTTGATGTTGTTATAATGCGTTCTACGTCACGGACAGTTATGATGTAGGCGAAACTAATCGTCTATAAGTTCAAAGATAAAAGATAAAGTCGACGAGGGTGTAGCATATTTTTATTTGAAAACACGTGACCACTTCGGACCTATTAAACGCATTTTACAAGTGTCGACGTCGCTTTATGCCTGAAACAAAGTGCGAAAGGTTTTAAAAGCGTTGAAACAGCCGCTCTTGACAGTTTGGGAGCAGTCGGGGAAATAGTGAAATAGCCGGTAAGTTGGGGCTCCAAATTCAGGGACGCCATATTTCGAACTTCCTGACCCACGAAATTCAGTGGTCACTTTTCCTGGTGTGATATATATGAACAGTTAATTTTAACTTTTCAGAGCCCATAAATCAGATTTTTTCTGGAGAATTATTTTTGTAAAATGTTACGTTTTACTCAATGATCCTCCAAAATCAATGATTATTTTTTCATGTATGCTATTTAAAAATATTGAGTCTGCGTGATAATTAATGTTTATTTTTGAAATAATTATTTTATAAGTGCTGTATTTAAATTCATAATTTATACTTATCACTAAAGATTTTAGCGTGATCAGATTAATTTAGGTGCGGTAGAAGGAGCATGTAGGGCGCATAGGAGAGATGAGAAATGCGTAGGTACGTTTTGGACGGGAAACTTAAGGGGAAGATACCACTTGGGAGTCGTGCAGACAAGAGGCAAATATTAAAGTGTATCTTTAAGAATAGAGTGTGAGTGTATGGATGAAATTATAACGACTCATAATATGGTCCAGTAGCTCTCCTTTTTAAACATGGTAATGAACTTTTGGGCCCTGTAAAGGGCGGAAAATATCTTGAACGACTATCAGCTTTTCAAGGAGGAGCCCACTCCATTAAGCAATTAACAGAAGATCCGTGTTGTGGTTGAAAGTCTACTTTCCAGTTGCACTGATTTGCAGTCTTGCATGTCTTATGTTTGTTAATGTTATACGCAGGTATTGCAACTTTATAGTACGGGGTGATTTAAAAAGGACTTTACAACTTTGAAAGTGTATAGAAATTTATTCAGAAGGCTTACAGAATCGGTTGAGGTGTTATTTTGTAGCAAAACAAATCAAGGTTTACCTCAAATAGTCATTTTGGTTCGATGTGATTGTCATTGGTGATACTGCAGACATCCCACCTGAAATCAATTTCTTGCCAAACACGATCCAGCATATCCGGTGTCACTTCTGCAACTGCGGCGGTGATTCGAGCTTTGAGCTCAGTGAGATTGGCAGGTAAGGGTGGAACATACACGCGATCTTTAATGAAACCCCATAAGAAAAAATCGAGAGGTGTCAAATCTGGAGAACGAGGTGGCCATGCTATCGACCCTGTTCGACC